TGTATTGTATTGTAATATATTACAATACATTACAAGATAAGAATACCTATAAATGTATTATAAGGCTATAAAATATTTAATACTATAAATAAATGCTTATATAGGCATATTATATAATAAAATAAAGCTAAAAATCACGTGATTTTAAATCTTTAAAAATTAACCTTAAAATGTGGATATTAAGCGAGATATTAAGCTTTAAAGTTATATCTTAAAATAAAAAGTAAATAAAGCGAGGCGAATTCTTAATTGCTTATAACTTTTTAATGTAATAACTTAAAATAGTAAAAAGTAAGGCATTTTAAAGAGCTAATTTAGCTCTTTTTAATTGTATAAAATTATCCCTTAAAACCCTTATAATTAGTCTTATAACTCCAAGTTAAAAAACAGGGGTCTTTTTTACTTAAAATACATTTATAGGTATTTTAGTCTTATAATGTAATGTATTTAAATATAATACACGAAAATTTAATATAATATAAAACATAATATATAATACACTTGTATTTACTTTATTCCTAAGAGCTTTAAAACTAACCTTACTAAATTAACTAAATATAGTTAAATATTTAAAAACTAAGTATCTAATATTTTTAACATTCTAATTATATATAGAGGTAAAATTTCCGTTTAAACTATTAAGAAGAATAAGCTTAATATAATCTTTTATTATATGCCTTATCTAGCTAGCTCTTTAATAACATAATATAGCTACCTCTACTTTAGCTACCTAACTTTTAGTTCTCCTTATAATAAAAATAAAGGAATTATATGAAAGAGAGAAAACTTATTATACTTTTTATTAAAGTAAATTTATTTTTTTCTTTATTATTATAATAATAAAGCTATTATCTTTTTTTCAAATAAAGAAATATTAAAGCTTATATAATTATATATAAGATAATATTATTATAAGGCTTATATAATTACGTGTAAGTTATTATATAATCTTTACTCGACTGTGTGAAAACTAGTTTTCACTCTCTTAGGATTATACTTAGCGTGCTAAGCACGCTGAAGGTTAATGCTAATAGGATGAAATCCGCGCCTACAGCCGATATGCTAGCAACCGATGTCGCAGACTACTTGGTTATAAAAGGTGTTCCATTCCGCGAAACGCACTATATTGCTAGATCTGTTGTTCGTAAGGCCGAGGAGCTAGGCGTGTCTATTTCAGAGGTGGGCTTGGGGGATCTAAAACAGATCTCACCGCAGTTCGATAGCGACGTTGCCCAAGTCTTTGTTTTCGAGAAGAGCGTGGAAAGAAGGTCTGCGCAAGGCGGCACCAGTAGGGCGTCGGTTCTAGCCCAGATTTCTTCCATCGAGGCTTTCCTGGCCAAGCAGGGAAAATAGTTTGTGAAGAGCGCCAGGCTAAACGATACTACTACTTGACTAGACGAGGCCATTTGGGATAAAAGAAGAAAAAGGAAAATTTTGTTCGTGTGCGGAAAGAACTGGGAATAGGGTTCGCCATCATTTACCCATAGAGAGAATTAATTAGGCGCTAAACCTTTTACTTGGGGGTAATTAGTAATGATACAAAACACGGCGTTATTGATTCAATCCGAAAGACACTGGTGCGATTAATTAGTCGCTGTATAGGCTGTTTACAGAAGCCCTTAGGAACTTTCAGATACTGCCGTAGCCATTCCACTGCCTATTTCCCTTATGTTGAATAAGAGAAAAGCTTCTTGTGTCAACTATAGCTGAGATGGCATTAGTAAAGCACAAAAGTCACTGGGACACAAGCAAGTGGGCGACGGACTCAGCCGAGTGTACGAAGGCGGCGGTCTCAATGGGAGGTATTAACGGAAGGCTCCCTGTCCAAGTAAGGTCGGCAACAGTAGACGCTGCTACAAGAGCTCCAAGGCGAGGCAGCAAATGTCATAGGGTCGGTCATGGAAAGACCTCAAAGGCGTGCCCTTTGAAGGCTTCGGAATCAGTCTCCCAACGGAGGCCGAAAGGCAACAGCATTGTATTATAGTAAAACTGTAACGCAGTAAGAGAGAAATAACGTGCATTGACTGGCCGCAGTGGAATTTAGTGACCAGGACAGTCACTAGAGTGTGACGACGCGACGAAATCGTGAAGTTATCAAGTCTGTTATTGGGGCGTAGTAACCCGCGACTGCTTCACCGCTTTACATGGAGGCTGGCCGATATATAAACTAATAAGAGTGCACAAAAAGTGTAGCGCCCCTAAGGTGTAGCATCCGTATCAATTTAATGTAGCGTCCCTATTAACTACTAATAAAATAGCCAGAGCCGTAGAAAATGAGGAGCAGGGTGCCGAGAATTGGCCACTCACTGTCGAAGCCGCTAAAAGCGGCGGCAGCTCCCGCCTGACTTGGTGGGGAGAACAGCGCCTCCCGGATTCTGTCTGTATTGTGCACGAGGTTAAGGGCATGACCCAGCTAAAGCCGCGGATGAATGCAGTATCAAGATGTGGCCTCTTCTCTCTGCCTCGGCATTCATTCCGTACCTGCGTAACAAAGGTTAAATGCCCTGTAACCTGTTATGCTTGGTATTAAAGATGTGTTGGAGTTGTCTACCACGATATCTTTGTACGTGGTGACCATTTGCTCTCGTTACCGTAATGCCACTGAGCCTGTTGTTGCAGCATCTAATGATGGCATGAGAGAAGAGTTATATAAAGGGTAAACACCCAGGAGAACGTTTAGCGCCAGTCGGTCATCATGAGAGATGAATACTCCGCCTCTGCTTGGATAGGGCATGAGGAACGCTTTAGTGGCTGTTCACTTTCGCATCGCAAAGTTACGACAAATCAAATAGTGTGGATGCTCTCTACCGTTGCAAGCCCTACCGCTATGTTAAGAATCAGATAACCAACCTTCTCAAGGATGCTATCTTCAAGGGGAAAGGGGGAACGTGGGATATTGGCGGCCTAGGGGTTAAAGCAGGTGTAGTCAGATACCATCACTGGTTCAAAGTTCGTGGTCTTGGAGGTTGGCAGAGGGCCCCCCCCCCCTCATTTCAGCCAGTTATTGCGTTTCGCCTGGTAAAGCCGCGTCTAACGGCAGGAATCCTTGAGTTGGCAGGAACCGAATCTCCAGTCTCGCTAGCGACGGCCCTTCTTGACATGGAAGAATCCGAACCTGAGCCTCCGCCTTCCCCTATCAGTACGCATGAGGATATATATTGGGTATACGGAGAAGAGGAGCCGTTAAAAAGCATTGGAATAGGAGAATCGATACCAATGAACTTACAATGACGTCTCTGAGAGGCGAGACTACTGTTTCTTCAACGTCAGATTGCCGCACAATTGAAAGGAAAAGGAAGCTCGGAAGGACCAAGTCGCCCACTCAAGGCAATAGCAATTATTATACCGCTGTCTGGCAGGCAGGCGGCAGTAAAATAACTCTTCAATTTCAATCTAGTTTCAGTCTTTTTGCATAGAAGATGAAGAGTCTCTGATTGTGTCTAAAAGTAATTAGTAATGTAAAGACATGTTCCTAGTAACCTAATTGTATAATAAAGGCTGTTTAATATATTTTTTTTTAACTTCCTTTGTAGAAAGTATTTTGATTTATGGAAACGGATTGTATGATTTGCTAGCTAAATCTCTGTGATAAGTAATTACTACATAGAGCTAAAGTAAAAAAGATTACTTTACATGTACTTAAATACTACTTGTAGCTGCGCAGCAACTTGATTCACAAGGGCTACAGCAACCATATACTGCATTGGATTTCTAGCCAATCCGAGGAGCCAAAAGATGACACATGATCTGTTAATGGTTCAACATGTAGGCGTTAGAAGTGGCCCATGTTTCAACAAGCGGCCCAACATGTTGTCTTGCATCAAGGCTGTCTTGACCAGCAACATTTGAAGCGCCGCTACGAAAAGTACTTGTGTAAAAGGGTCGCTTTGCATCTGTTGCTTGGCCAACTAACAGCTGACCTCCCTTTTAGGCACATAGCTAGAAAATAAGGAGTGAGAACTAGTGCGGCAGCGGATTTGCCTTCATCTAAAGCGGGCTAAGCAAATGCCTTGGGATTAAACACGTCACAGCGGCTCGTCATCTTACCACATGCGCCATGCAGAGCTAGCTCCAGGCAAGTTTGACTGCATGCTGAGCTGAGACGACGTCGTTGTGATACATGACTCGGCACAGTGTCGCCTGCAGATGGCTTGGGCAGTTACACCCTTTCCAGACGTTGGCCAGTCACTTGGGATATTCTGTGGCTCTGTCGGCCTTGGACGTCGTGATGCTGGTGCATACGTCAACAATGGGCAGGACAAAACAAAGCTGCAAATAGAGCTTCATAACTTTGAACGCCCACGATGAAATATTTCAGGAAGCATTCGTACTTTGAAGCTACAACCTCCGAAGTGCCTGGGATGGACACTGCGATTTATGGCGATACAAACGGTATGAGCTATGATTAGAACAGAACAGCGCAGCCGGTGTAGCTTAGGAATACGCCACGGATATTGGTCAAGGTGTGATGAGACAAGCGCGCGTGTGTGTCACTGGAGATGATGGCACTCACATAGTTTGCTGTTATTATATTGGTTGCTGGAATCTGCACAATACACGGTCACGTAGCAATAAACCGATATAAGCCCCAATACTAGGCTGAAGCATTGTCATGCTCCTGCGTCTTGTCAGCCAACCATGGGCTGGGCAAGAACAGGTAAGAAACAACAAGTATTGCATATGGGATATTATGCAAGAATCTGCACATCGTGACTCGTGTGCATAATCTCCTACGATTTCAGGCAACGTGGTACAAAAATTCTGTCAAGACGAATACAGACAAAGACTATTGCTTGATAACAAAATTCTAGGGCGTCCACGGTGGGTGGAAGGACAAGGTATTTCTGGGGTTTGACACGGCCAATAACCAACTCCCACAGCTTAGATGGGCTAGCTCACTATATTCTGTAGGTATGATTGGTACGCAGCTCCTTCAGGATTGTTCGCTCTCCCGAATCGTGCCGTGTCGGTGCGTTTTTGTCGAATTGATGTCGCGGCACTGGCTCCAACGTTTATACTGGCTCTACCAACTCCGTCGCATCTGAGTGATGGATTCTCAAAGTCACACTGACATGGGGTCATCAGACGGTCGCAGGGTCCAGCTACTGGTGGATTTACTGATTTGGCTAGAAAACGAGCTACAATATGTGCAGTCTGTTGTGCCACAACACCATGCTGCCAGACTAAATATAAGCACATTCTGTTTTGGATACCGGCGGCGGCGGGATCCGAAGAAGAAGACAAAGTGGGACTTGCAGCTTCTTTTGAATCAAATGGCTTTGAATGTGCTGCGAGATGTGTCAATGCAACCACTTTCGACACAAGGCCACCACTACTTTGCCTCCGTTTACCTGTCACGCGCTGTTCTGACACATGTTAGGCACCACCGCCACAGCACCATGGCACAGATCCATCTAGACACGTCCGTACCATCCCTAGTTATCGTGACTCGAGCTCCTGCATTGTCATTTACACCGATCCCGGTGTGGGTGTGCCGGCGGTTGCACCATGGCATCTGCTGTCGGCATGGCAGAAAGGGCAGCATTTGTCCCCTTTCCTCCTCACCAACGGCAGAGTGTATATATTGAGGCCAAGAGCTGCACCCAACCCCCAAGTCGTCTTGTTAGTTTCATCATCCATACAAGGCCCCGGAAAACACACTTGCAACATGTCCCACACCCACACCCACGAATCACCGCAGCAAGAACAGGGCGACGCAGACCTGCTTCCAATCTGCACCACGCTTGGATGCTCCATCAACTTGGCTCAGCAAGGTGTGTTACCCCAAGGATACCGATGGAGAGCCCCATGCCCGTACTAATTGCCAACTCAGGCATCAACCCCCTTCACATTGCCGACGTTCTGGATGCCAGTTCCAAAGCCACCATTGTTCACATGAGTGGTAAGGGACGCGAGCTAAACCCGCCAGGATCCTCGAAAAAGTTCTGGAAGCACGAAAACGCCATACTCAGAAGTCACGGCACATCAACCGAGTCCCATAGCCTCATTGTTAAAACTGGCGACGAGTTGAGCCACGATTTCGAGGCAGAAGCAAATTTAAGCATCAGCTATGGCGGACTGTCTGTGTCGGCCTCTTCACAGTACAGCTATCAGTCGTCGTTTGAATTAACCAGCGTGTATGGAAACTACAGCTTTGACCAGAGGGTGTACTCTGTTCAACTGGCGGCAGATCCGTACGAGTTTGTTAATCCCAAGCTGGTCAAGGAGGCCCTGCTGCTCCCGGAATGGCATCAGGACCAGGCCACGTATGAGAAATACCGCCTGTTCTTTCAAAAATGGGGTACTTACATAATTCTCGAGTGCTTCCTCGGCACCCGCTATCAGCTTTCGATTGAAAGCAAGGAGACGTCGAGCGAGAAGAAACAAGAAATCAAAGCATGTATAGGCCTGGAGTACAAAGGACTAGTGTCTGCAGGAGGAAGTGTTGCCGACACCCAGGCGTACAAGGCCTATGTGGACGCACGCAATACGGACTGCCGGGTTCGTGGCGGCGATCCGGGCAAAGCAGGGATTCTGGAGCGTGATCCGACCAACATGGACAAGTTCAATGATTGGCAGGAGAGCCGCAAGCTGGATGCCATGGAGGCGTTGTTGTCGGCAAAAGCAGAGAGCCTGGCCGTGTTCCTGGCGGCGAGCTCAGTCCAGTCCCACGTTGAGGCATCGCAGCGTCTCAAGCCTGCCCTCGACTACTTTTCCAGCTTTCGCACGCTTACCGGTGTCATCAATGGTTTTCAGGACATGTACTTGAAAGGCGGGGGTTACGAGGTTGTCCCATATCCCCCGACAGTCCCGTATAGTCCTGGTATGGAGTACAAATGTACTACAAGTCCTCTTCCTGGACTTGTGATTAAGCCAGAGAGCGCCAGTGGCTGGACCGTGACCCAACTGTCGCCGTCTTCCTTTACGGCGAAGTCGTATCAAAAACTCCAAGTTCCATCAGTCCCCATTACCATTACCGCTCCCATGCAGCCCGTCGATGTCACACTCTGGTCGCATATTGAATTCGTGATACCGTTTATTACCCCGAGGTGTGGGCTCGGACTATTACAAACACCTTCCGGGTTGTATCGGACAACAATCACTGTAAAGTCAGATGGGACAACAGGGACTGTTCATGTGCCGAAATTGGACCTGGCCGGAGATTTTAGATGAACGTGATTTTACGGGGACAAGGATAGACTGTAAGAGACATTGGGTTCAGGCAGAGTTGGTGAATCAATAAACCTGGACGCCTCGGCAAGAATTTTGTCCCTCTACCAAAAGTGGAGGACCTCCATCAGATGAAGATCTATCAAGCCTTGTATTTTCATGACAGATTTTAGCATCCATAGTCTTACAACCTGATCAGAAATTAACATATGATTGACCAATCAGGAGTGGGTAGTAGGGAAGATGCTTCCTCTATCCCATCGGGCAGGGTGCTGCCGTGACCATCGTGGTGTCGGTTGTGGTGTTAGTGGACTTGTGGCCTGGCTTAGCTAGATAATTATGTATCAATATTCTAGCATAGTCTGACGGACGGCATCCGAAGGCGTCGTGGGTTGCCGGGCCAGGACCTCTCGACAAGTCCACTCAGGGGTTGCCAGAGTAGAATTGATCTCTGAAGCTCTTGGGTTCCCCTGCTCCTATTCTGCTTCTTCTTTCCTTTTCAAGTCTTGAGACACTCGTAGTCATCACCTTGATTATCCTTGTTACACTCCACGTACCGCAAAATGGATGTTATCATGGCACAGTTATCGAGGAAACGAATATCAGACTTCCTCTCAAGAAACGCCCCTATGACGCAGCAGCAATATGAAGAAGGAGCTAGACAAACTACTCAAATATGCGGCATTGCCTATTATTATCCATTGCTGTGCAGGAATCTTTGCATGATACCAATGTCAAGGTCACAAAGCCTGCCCTCAGTATAGTTGTAAGCTGTGCCCCGATGCGGCAGGCTCATCGCTCGGTGAACAAAACTAGAGACCCAACGATATGCGAAGACACATGGTGAAGCGGTATCCGCAGGCCCAGAGCATGAAGAATCGGAGGGGGAGGTCCGAGGGCGCGCGCCGAATATTGTGGTGCATGACGACCCATCACCATGACTATATTCCAAAGTACTCGTGTTTTACATCATTCCAGAATCCACTCCTTCATCATGCACAGAAAGTCCACGGCATCTGATTGCAGGGCGGCCCTTTCTAACATGCCATAGCCCGGCTTGCACCTCGTGATTCATGAGCGCAAAAGTTCCCCGAGTCTCTCCACGTGGGCTTCCTTAGCAGTCACAACAATCCCACAGTCGGGACAAGTGGATCAGTGCAACCCACGTGTTTCCCCATGAATCAAGATGCAATTCAATGTACGAAGGTTTGCCGACGCCGGTTGTGGCTGTACGACGGACGCAACGGTAACGGTGCCAGTGTCTCGGCATTGCGGCAAATGCCGTGTTTCCCAATTACCGCGTGACATGGGCGCATGGTAGGTACCGCGTCGACGCGTGATTTTGACTTTTCGAGTCAAGCCCCGAGATGACTTACGGGTATGGTATTCAGTTCTAGACTCTAGTCACTATGTGTGATGCAGAGGTGCGGTTGGCACAAGCCATGTCTCATCCACCGTAACCAAGAATACATTGTTCCGCAGCTTCTCTTTATAAGTCAGCCTGTTGGTGACCAAAAATAAAATAAAAATAAAGATAAAAAGACCTCTAGGCCCGGAACACGCCGTGGCTCAGAGCTCCTAGAGGTCCCGCTAGTCGGCCAATTGTGGACGTCTCGTATTGGCAACCCAGATGTGTCTTGCTTGCCACGGCCTTCCACATCTACAACTTGCCAAGGCTCTCTCCCCATACTATACTTGACGCTTCTCGGAATCGGTATCCGTGCACTCGGCAGTTGCGCCCATCCCGCGCCCGTGGTCGTGTTTCCCAAAGTGGAGAGTCCATGCCTCTCTCTCATTATCCTGATGCGCCTTGTATATAATATGCATGTACATTCGCTTGGAACTTTCCGGGCCAATCATCTGCTTCACCGCGCTAGTCCGCGTACTAACAAGCCCGTCTACCAAACATGTTGCTCTTCGGGCAAGACAGCTCTAGATGCGTCGACGACTTCTGATGACAGTCTGGTCTGGCACGGGCCGCCGGACGTCCCTTCGCAGGTCACCGGCGTAGTTTCACAGTCGCAGAGTGATTCCTAAAGGGGTCTAATCATCTGGCTGCTAGTCTCTGTACTAGCTACTCATGAACTGATACGATGTTGCTTCCGACCTTCCCAAATCGAACATGCCTGGTTGTCTCTTGCACGGCTAGAAATCCCCTCATGTCAGTCCCGCCACTAGTTCTAATTACATGCCGTATTGACTCGTCCTCGTCTTGCAAATTCAAGGCACGTGCGTAAGGGCTACCAGCCTCTAATACCACATGTATCTGCTATTACACGTCTAGCTCTATAGGGCAGGTGTATCTTGAGTCATTACTTGTCCCTATAGGCATGCCTGGAGTTTGGCTTGCATCACCACCCAAATTCTTATTCGCTTAGGTGCTCCTATATGGATATTTGCTACCAGCCCTTGTACTGATACCAACGGGTCCCATCTAGTGGCAAGTCGCGCAACCAAAAGTATATAAACCAAGCTACACACTGGCCTTGCAAATTACTCTTGACCAGATAGTACCTTGACAACTCGAGAAAGCCCTAGTGACAGCCTGACACGTGTGTGTAGCCATCAAAGCCACCACGGGAACTGCTCTTGTATTCTCTCCTTCCACAATGTTGGGACTCGTGTCTTTATCTCTCCTCATCAGCGCCTGCTCGGCTGCTCCCAACAGGGCCAACCCAAGCAACCAACTGCCCAACTTTATCAATCAGCTGCAGCAGTCGCTACGCAGCGTCGACTGGAACAACCCTCCCTTCACCGACGGGTCCAAGCTGAATGAGTACACATGTCCCGCTCATGCGTTCGAATGCACAACGACGGACTTCTGGCAAAGGCAGACAATCTCGTCTCTTCCCAGCCACGTCACCGTCTCAACAGAGATTCACACCGACGCAACGCTCATAAATGACGGCACAAAAGATGCCACAATCACGTCGTCTTCCTCTACGGCCGTGGCCCTGGGGACAACCAAGGGCTGGACCATTGGCGCAAAAGCCTCTCTCAGCTCGCCAGACAAGATCGGCAACGCTGAGCTGTCCGCCTCCTACAGCGACACCTCCACCTCTACGACGACGGAAACAAAGACGGTGCAGTATGGCGCTGTCTGCCCTGCGGGCAAGACATGCCGCATCCAGACTGTTACTTTCCAGGCCCGTCTTGAGGCTTACTGCAAGCACGAGCCGATGCTCGACTGCAGGGTGCCAGTCAACGTCTGCAAGCGTCCAACCGGCATATTGCGATGCCAGCAGTATGTGGATTACTACAACAGGAACTGCGTCAGTCCTCCCTCCGACTCTCCTTGCCATGTCGACGTCCAAGTTCGGGCAGACGATGGAAAGCTCCTCACGCTCGTTATCATTACCGAGGAGTAGCGTCACTCATCGCCCAATACATGAATTGCGAAGCGGCAGTGAACCCCTGGGGACAGGAGTCTGTACAGACTAGTTCTGCAGGCGCAAAAATCAAGCAGCGCTGATCTGGTATTCTGGGCATAATTGCTCCAACTATTCCGCACATGTGTCGGGATCGCGCCGCTTATTTAAGCCAATAGCAAACCAACATGCAGTACTATTATACATATTTTATTCGTGCATAAATTCTCTCTTTCATTTAGACAACTGAGAACCTCGTCTTTTCTAAGCCATCTATACGTGAATAGCTACTAGTAGTAAAAGCAGTGCTATAACTAGAGAAACTGAAAATTACGTACTGCGATAATAGCAACTCTTAGCTACGTTAGTAAAATTAAAGCTATCTTAACTTTTTTTATAATATTACTCGGCTATGGGCTGTTAGCTAGAGACTAAATCTGCTATTCTCCTCCTTGCGCTTAGAGCTTTTCATTTTAAAACATGTCAGGTTAGTAGGTTTCCGGGCAGCTTGTATTCTAATTTTTTTGTTTCCAGTTTTAGCAGCATATTCTAATACGACTCGAATAGTAGTATTCTAGTTGAAGTGTGCAAGTAGAATTTGACAGAGTAAAGTAATGTTACATGTATACAAGTATAGTATATAATTTCTGTTACACGGTTAAGACTTAATAAAGCCTAACGCTAATATAGGACCTATAGGTTTATTTAAACTAAATACACGACGCACTTATTACCTATAATATCTCTGTTTCTTTTATATATATATAATAGTTACTACGCCCTTTATTTCTCTTAAAAAACTAAGAACCTTTAATACTATATTAGATTATCTTTAAATTAAGCTCTTACTTTAAGCTCTTATATTTAAGCTCTTATTATAAATAATTTAATACTCTTAAAGAAGACCTCTTTTCTTAATTATATAATTTACCTTATAATACCTTAACTTTTATATACTATTATTACTTAACTTTATAAATAAAGCTTTATAAGAGCTCTCTTAATAATATTAAGAAGAACCTTTAAAAGAGAAAGAGACTTTAAGTAAAAAGAAATTCTTAAATAAGAACGTTACTTTTAATTAAAAATAATAATAAGAAGAAAAACGTTAATAAGAAAGATAATAATAAGAAAGAAAACTTCTTATTACCCTCTTAAAGTATTATAATAACCCTTTATATTTTATCTTATATAACTTAAAGATTTTAATTAAGTAAGAACCTATTAATATTTAATTAAGAGTCTTATTACTTCTTTAATTATTTATTAAAAGCTTTTTTTATTAATACTTTTATTAATAATTAAAAACTTAACTCTATTATTAATAAGAATAAGAAAAACCTAAAATAAAGGGAATATTATCTTATACCTTTTAAGTTAATTAAGGTTAAGCTTAAACTATTATAAAAAACTTTAAGTTTTATATTATAAGTTACTTTAATATTAGTTTTAATAGTAATATAAAGCGTAAAAGTAAAGAAGCTTATACCTTTTATTATTACTTAACTTACTTAAAAGGTTATACTAGTACTAATAGTAATAATTACCTTAGCTTTTAAATTAAGAAAATTAAATAAGAGAAAGTAATTAAAGAATCTTACTCTCTTTTAGGTAAAACCTAATCTCTTATAATTTAAGCTTATTTTTTAAGTAATTATAGTTTCTATTAAATTAAAATAATTAATTATTTATAACCTATTAAGCTTTAATATAATAATAAGAGACACTCTTAAATTAACGAGAAGCTTTAAATTAATTAATTAATTATTAATAGTATATAAAGACGTTATTAACCTTAATAAATAACTAATTTAAGCCTATAAAATAGTTTACTTTTAGGCCTTAAATATTAAGGTATTAAATCGCTAAAATCTCTAGGATATTTAACGTAAGTATTAAAAGGTTTATAATAAATATTAAGAAGTTATTACCCTTACTTAATAAGGCCTTATATCTAGTAAGAATAAGCTTATACGTTTCTAGTATACGCTTAAGAGTAATATAAATAAATTTACTAATAATATTTATTATTAGATTATTTAATTTACTTAAAATAAGAAGAAGTATAGTAACGCTTTCTCTTACCTTTAAAACGTATAAGCTTAAAGTATCTATTAGATTTAAGCTCTTTATTATAAACTTAAATATACTTAAAACTAAATATAAGTGTAAGTAATAAGTATAAATAGTATTATTAAAGGACTTTTAACTTAAAAGTATATTAGCTTAAACTAATTAAACGCTTATAATTAGGTATAATTATAAAGTATTTAAGACTTAATAAAAACTATTATTAATAAGGTAATAGAAAAAATAAATAATAGAAAATAGGTAAACGTTAATAAAACCCTTTAAAAAATCGAGAAAAAAGTAGTATTTATACGAGCTATATAATTTCTTATTATATTACTTATACAGCTATTAGTTATATATAGTATTAAAACCTAGAAACTATAGACCCTATAACCCTTATTTAAGAAGGCTATTCGCTTAATATATATACGTATCTCTTATTAGACTTACTAATAGTTATAATTTTCCCGGCTATTTACTTGTAACACTCGTTTTAGCCCTAGTAACCCTAACTCATCTAATAGTAATAATAGATAGAATAACCGCTATTTACTAGAACCTTTAAATAACCTAAGAATACCCTTAAGATTATAGGATAAACCACTATTATAGCTAAATTTATTAGCCTAGCTTATTAATTAATTTAAACTAGCTAAATAGGTTAATTCTTTATATTAGAATAAACTACTAAACTTTAATAGCTAAGATACTAATAAGTTTTACTTTTAATAAAAGACTATTATTATTTATATTAACTCTTATATAAAAAGCTTCTTAATAGATTAAATTAAGATTAATTAGGTTAACTTACTTCTCTTAAATTAAGCTAAGATTTAATATTAATAAAGAAAAAGATAGTTAAAAAGCTTAAAAGGCTTAAATACGTGAAATAGCTTCTCTTAAGCTATTTAATTAAGGTTTAAGAATATATTAAAGAAAGTAAGAAACTTAAGAAAGCTTAAAAAGCTTAAATATAATAATAATATTACTTAATTCTTAACGTTCTTAATAGATTTTAATAAATTAATTTAAATATCTAATATTACTCTTTAAGAGTATATTATAAAAGCTTTACCTTAAAAGATTATTAAGCTTATATACTCTCTTTATAAAGGCAAACCTTAAATAAATAAGAACTTTATTAGCGCTTTATAAAAGGTTAAAGAGATTTACGAGAAGTTATTACTAGACCTTAATTATTTAAAAGTAG